CCCCCCCCCCCCCCCCCGTAAGAATATCCTAGGATAATCTTACCTCCCAGTAAGAATTTACTAGGAATATTGTATCTCGAGGGGGGTATTAACTCTCTAGGATATTTTTACACTCCCGGTACAATATTTTTAGGACTTAACTATGTTCTAAAAACACTGCACAAATAAAATTATTTTTTTAAGCGATCTGTTTTTTAATGTAAAAACAATGGTGTTGGTATAAACGTTATTTTATTAATAAAATTTGTTTTTTCTTGTTTCTGTTATTTACTTAGAATAATTTTATTAACAGATCATATGCAATTTTTGAATTCAGGACATCAATTTTACTATGATAATTTGATAAAATTGTTATTAATATTTTTTAATAATAAATTAATAATATTTCCTAAAAACTAGTATATACATACATTAGAAAATATTAAAACTTTTGTTTACGCCATCAAAAAATTGCCACCCCTAAAATTGTGCCACCCGGGACAGCTGCCCCTTTGCCCCTACCCCTTAACTCGGCACTGAATCTACAAATAACCGATCAACGATTAGAAATTAAAAATAATATAATTGATAACCACTAATGATGATTATAATAATCTAATATTTGGCACGACTTTTAAACGGGCCAATGAAAGCGGCGTTTAAAGAACAGGCTCTGTGGCTGTAGAGGGTTTGGTAATAAGCTCCTGGGTGAACTAAACGGAGAATGTTAGTTGTTCAACGATATACCGAAGACCTACACCATAATTCAAATGATTAAATGTAAATATAATGTTTATGCATTCTTTACTCTATGGTTTATGCCATTATTATTAACATACGGCGTTGTTGAGAACTCCTGATTCCGATTGATAACAAAACGTCATTAACTTCGTATCAGTACATGAATAAGCGGTTGTGCATGTTAGTTACAATTAATTCGGTTATTGCAATCGTGTTCGGTTGTGCGTCTGTTTCCCTGCGTCGGCTTCTCGTGTAATCATCCGTTGTCGCAGTGCCCGAGTTTGCTGGCACCATGGCTTACAAACTCAGCTCCGTTCTCTACGGACACGTATTGGACGTCCGCTCACTGGCCACCACCAGCGACGGTTATATCGTGTCCGCGTCAAGAGACAAGACCGCTAAACTCTGGAGACCCAACAGGTTAGATGAAACGCATCATAGTGATTACACCAGTATTATGCCCGCTAGCCAACGCTTCGAGCTTGGTATCTGTACACGTTCTTTGAAGACTTTGACAAACCTATGACCAGCTGTACCTCCTGCCAATCAACTTACTCCTCTTTCTTCCTCTGGGAGATACCGGCTTACCAGACTGATCATTCTATAAAGACTGTACTCTGTAGCGATTGACACTTTGAACTATGATAAATGCTCGTTGCACATTACCATTACTGCTATACTCTGAAATAACTTGTGAGATTTGTATTTAATGTTTTAAACCTTCTTACTTTAAGTTATTACATACATAGAACCTTCTTACTTTAAGTTATTATATACATAGATGTTTCAAACAGTTTTTTACCAATTGAAAACATTCGTTTTTCTAATACATTATCAAAATATATTGGGTAAATCCTTGGTAGGTTTTTTCATGTTTATATTCTTCTGACCAATAGTAATTATGTAATTCAATTATGTGCTTATGTATAGTCAAATATATATTATTTATTTAAACAAAACTATAATATCATAATTATTCTTACTTATTAAGTACGTACATCTTATCCGATTTAATATTACCACTATGTATTTACAAAATATTAATATAAATAAATAGATTATATTTTTCCATATATGTATATTTTTGTTTTTTTTAATTTCAGTGAAAACGCTGGATATACAGAAGCTCAAACCTTTAAAGGTCATACCAATTATGTAGTGTCCATCGGAGTACTACCAAAATCTAATGTCTTACCAAATGGTCTTATTGTTACTGGCGGTAATGATAAACTTATGTGTGGATATGTACCTGAATCACCAGAACCAGTTTTTGTTGAAACTCGACATACCAATACAGGTAAAAAATGTAACTTGTGTAATCAAAATAATTTGGTATTTTATTTAGTACATTAATTTATAAATTAAAAGTCTCATGGCTATTCAACTTTTGTCTTTAAACTTAGATTTTTTTTATCTCAATGATTTAAATGATCAAAGATCTTAACAAAGATTAGAAATAAGTATATTTTTTGTTAAAAATAAGAGATTTATTAGATTGAAAATTATCCAAACTAGTTATCACAAAAAAAGGTTTTAATTAGAAAATTAAATTTTATCTTTTAATTATTAAAATCTTTCAGACAGAAATAATTACTTATGATAAAGTAAATTTAATGTATTTAATATATAAATAAACAAATGTATTTACAATTTACTTTTTTTATTTTTAGTATGCAAGATCAGTCCTGGTATAATGGAAAATACCCTCTTATCTTCTTCATGGGATTCAACAGCTAAGTTGTGGAAAATAACAGTAGACCCAGATCGTACATATCAACCAGTATTATTAACAATTTTTAAAGGACATACAGCGGCAGTTTGGTCTGCTATTCAACTTGCTTCGAAACAAATTGTAACTGGTTCAGCAGACAAAACTATTCTTATACATGATATTTTACCGGGTAACCCTGAAAATTCTTCTGTTATTGTAAAAAAATTAACAGGTTTGTATTTAATTATTTTTCTGACTTATTTTCATGTTTGATTGTGTAATATAAATTTATAATATTGTATTAGGTCATACTGATTGTGTAAGAGATTTATCAGTGTTAATGTATAATGAATTTCTATCATGTTCAAATGATGCTACTGTTAAACGGTGGAATGCAGAAACTGGTGAATGCTTAGACACAATATATGGTCATCCTAGTTATATTTATAGGTAAATTGAAAATATATCAAAAAAATGTAACTTTATTTTGGTTAACAGAAATTTTAATTACTAGTTTATAACTTAATTATGTATTATTTATGTTATTATTTTAACTATAAAATGTATTTAATATTGATTACCTATAATTTATGTTTCATTGTGTCAAAATTACCTTTTATATGACTTTTATGTGTTGTGCAGTTTAAGTGTTTATTGTGGCTCTGATATATCAAATTCATTGGTGGTAACTGGTGGAGAAGATAGGTACCTACATATTTGGCAAAGTGTAGATCAACAAGTTATATTACAACCAGCGCAAAGTATATGGGCTGTTTCTATTCTTCCCAATAAAGATATTATTGTTGGCTCTAGGTATGTTTAAAAGTTGAATATTATTTTTTGTCATGTATGTTGATAATAGATTTAACTTCAAAGTCAAATTCATTGCCATTAAATAATTTATGGCATTTTATTGTAGTATTTTTTAGTACTATAATTTCATTTTCTTAATAGAACACCACATCCGTATATGTTGTCTCCGTCTTACAAGTATATAACATAGCAAATCTGAATTCAGTAGAACCAATTTTCTGTAGTTAACTTTAATATTAAAGTAAAATTATTTATTATCAAACTTAAGAAAAATATATTATCTGTATGATGGCACTAGTTTTTTATACTTAATTATTTATAAATTTTATGTTTAAAGATTGTACCTACATAATAATGGTGTGTCTAACACTGTATGACAAAAAAACATTATCTGTGAAATGTCATATGTTTTAACAATATTTTAATTTTTAAGTGAGTTATGATTTTTCAAATGTTACAATTCACATAAACATAACTCACTTAAAAATTAAAATATTGTTAAAACATATGACATTTCACTGATATTGTTTTTTTCTTTAAGTTTAATAATCCTAAAATATTCGCTCAATTTATTCTTTCCAAATCATCTTTTCATGACTAATTCATTACTAATACTAAATGCTCCAGGGTATATAAGAAATGTTATTATACACAAATAGTTAAAAATACCTACATTAAATGAATTTGCTAAAAACCACCATAAAAGAATTCATCCTAAATTAAATATCCACATAAATCCTCATATGAATAGTATGCATTGACTTACATTTCCTTAATACATCAATCAACAGCTCAATAGAAATGAGTCAAGAGACTTACTAAAAAAAAAAAAATTAAAAAACAATGCAATATTTTATTACATTCTATTTTGTTTGTTAGTGATGGTTTAATAAGAATATTCAGCGCTGACACTACTCGCCAAGCAACAACTGAAGCTCAGACAGCATTCCAAGAACAAGTTGACAATGTTAACCAGTTAGCAGAAAAAGAAGTTGGTGGTATTAAAATTGACAGGTATATATTGTGTATATGTTATAATTAATTCATTTAAAGTTTATCAAATTATTGCATTTATTTTTATTTTTAAGTTTGCCAGGACCAGAAATACTTTATACTCCTGGTAAAAGTGATGGCCAAATAATAATGGTTAATGAAAATGGCAAGCCTATTTGTTATAAATGGTTATCAAATGAATCTAAATGGGATAAAATTGGAGATGTCTTAAGTGCATCTAATCCAGATAAAAATATGCACGAGGGAAAGGTAGTATTATTAATTACATATTATATGACTAATTTTATTTTATTATTTAAATGTATTACAGGAGTATGATTATGTATGGACTGTTGACATAGAAGATGGGGCTCCTTTAAAATTACCTTTTAACAGAGATCAAGATCCTTGGGTAGTTGCCCAAGCGTTTATACATAAACATAATTTACCACAATCTTATTTGGAAACTGTTGCAAACTTTATAATTTCAAACTCTAAAATTACTACCCCATCCTTACCAACTAATCAAGGTTATATAGATCCATACACGGGATCTAATAGGTATGTACCACCAAGTAACAACACTTCATCGTCTGGAACAAATAGTCAAAATAATTTCACCGAACAGCAAATGCAATCATCCCAGGGATACAACACATTTTTCCCTCAAACTAATTATTTGAAATTTGATCAAGCCAATACTTCATCTATTTTAAGTGAGTACCAATTTATTAATAATTTATTTTTAGTTTATTTTAGTTAAAATATTTATTAATTAAAAAAAATTATACATGAACATGTTATATCTATAATATAATTGTCCTCTTATAATTTAATCATAATTTAATATATAAATGTCACTGCTAATCAGATAGCCTCAGAATTACTTTAAAATGGTAAACCCAGAAGGAAAATCAAGAGGGAAAAAAACATAAGAAACAAAAACAATAAATGCCATATATTCCACTATAACTTTCTAATAAATGAATTCATCACCAGCCCAAAAGAAATGAAGAATGGGAAAGTGGCTGGGTACAACAAAATTGCAATAGAACAAATTAACTGGGCCAGGAGTGAGACAATGGTTACTTCAACTATTAAATATATATCTCCATAGGAAATGTGTGTATCTATAGCTTTGAACGATACTTGCAGAATCATTATGGGATGTCATAGGCCAACGCCTACATATAAGTTACACCTTCTAGGAGGCGTAGCTCTACCTGAAATTAGAAGACAAGTGACCAACGATATAGAAAAAACCAAACAGATAAATGACGAAAGACATTCTATGTTCAAAAATAAAATCACGAGCATAAGACTTAAATCTCAAAAATGTTTCATACAAACAGCAAAAGAACTGCACGAACCCCCACAAAAAGCTAAACTGCAAAGGTGGCAAAATGGAATGCTACAACTGGAAGAACTGATTCAGACTTCACAACAACTTCCATTGGGTGGATATCTTCCATGATCACTATGGAAAACTCTCAACAGATTGAAAGCCGGAGTGGCGAGAACTAAAGCTAACATAGTAGAAAGAGGCTTTAATGGAGAAGATGACACATACAACTGTGGAGAATGATAGACTGATAAACACATTTTGTCATGCACAATGAGTCCAGCATAATGCACCAAAAATGATCTGATTTTGATAAACCCAAATTCACTAGAGGTGGCTGCTTACTGGTCACAACACAACATATAGAATGTTACCAAAAAAATGTTATTTTATTAGACGTACCAAATTTATTTATTTATTTTTTATTATCTAAGTATTTACCTGAATTTTATTTTACTTTAAATTATTAATATAATTGTTATTGGCATTTTTATAATCAGACATGACAAAAAAAACCATAATTTAATTTCAAAAGTTAACATTATCTGTATCATATTTTTAAACATACTTATTAGACTTAATTTTAATATACTGTAGAGAACATTAATATTTTACTTAAAAAAATTTGTTTTCCCACTTGATATCTTAGGAACCATCTAATGTAAAATTATCTTTCCACTCTTAATAAAGCTACCTTTGCTTACTTAAATTTGTAGGATATTTTATATTTTGATGATCTGAGTAATCTTTATTGATTACTGGAATTGTTATATCTGTAGTTAAAAAATTATTTAAGCTATACAGTGTGTAATCGCTAACTGAGAACACTCAATATCTTTGCGTAGAGACCTGAAATTTGAATTCTAATTTTTTGTTAGTTTTTATGACATAAAAATGGGTATTTTTACGAGTTTTTAGTATTTTTAAGTTAAATACTCGCGCATGCACTTTTTTTTCTTAAATCTTAACCACCTATTTTAACCAATAATTATTTTTTGCCTATTTTTTTTAAATAATTTTGGTACTTAAACCAACTTTCGAAGTCCAAAATCAACTAAGTTACAGCAATTTAACCAAAAAACTGTAAAATGCGTGCGATTTTAAATTTTTTTGATTGTAACTCTGAAAATAATTATTCTGGAATTGTTAAGGCTTGATATTTTCACTTTATTTGGGTATGTATTATAACTTATAGTAGAAAAAACGTAAATAAGCAGGCATGTTGTTTATTTCGTGACATTTAATGGATCTATTGGAATTTATCAATACCTAACAATAAGTTTAATTTTTATTCAAGTTACAAGTTTATTTATTGATTAATTTAACGTATAAATTGTTCAAATTGTTGTCCTCCATGAACAAAACATGATTCAGTGCGCTGCATAAATTCTTTATTTGTTGCAGTAGTAATTTCTTCATCAGTCAGTTGATTGCAATGATATTTATGATATTTTAAATTGGAATAGACACGTAATCTAATACTTATCGTATTTTATCAATCACTATAAAACTAAACATTAGGCACCTCTCTTAAATTAAACGTTAATCTTTATTACAATTTGATACAAAATTAAATACGATGAAATCGGTAGCGTAATTTTGGGGGGGCAAGTGCCCCCACTGACCATTTTTTGAGAGATAAAGGTATAATTTTGTCCCCCCCCCCAGATAATCCAACAGTACAAATAGCACCTTTTATTAATAAACTCTTATGGATATTATTTAACAATATTGGTAGCTAGTACATGCTACCTACAATTTATGTTTATCTAAACCATAAAATGAGTTAAAAGACTTATGTAAAATCAAACAATTAGATAAAGTATATAAAATACATACAATAAAAATATGTTTTAACTGGTGTGGGGGAGGTGTATCAGGGTTTTGATAATAATAAATATATTATATTGCCCCCCCCCTAAGTTTTTTCTCAGTTACGCCACTGGATGAAATTAATATGAAATGTTTATTTATACAAACTGATAATTTCGATATTTTTCATCGCCCAAACACATGAGTTACTCTGTGATTAAAATGAAACTTGTAAAAATACCCATTATTATGTCATAAAAACCTACAAAAAATCAAAATTCAAATTTCAGGTCTCTACGCATAGATATTGAGTGTTCTTAATTAGCATTTACACACTGTATATACAGTGAATATCTAAAATTTGTCGCCGTAGAAATTAGTATTAATATAAATTTAAATTATAAATAAGTTTCTTACCAATATATTATATTAATTTAATACTATGTTGAATGTTACAGGTAGCTTTAAAATGATTATATAGTAGTTATAAATTAGAAGATTTTTATATTTATAAAATTATTTCTTTTAAGTTTTTTTATCACAATATTTCCTCCTATCTGTTTATTTTTTTATATATTTATTAAATGCACAATGTATACAAAAATCGCATTTTAAAACCCAGTACATTAAAATATTGTTATTTGTGAACTGATTGTGCAAAATAAAATATCTATGTTTGTTTAAAATCTATTATTATGTTTTTAGGTAAAGTTCAAGAATTTAATAAAAAAATAGAATCTGTAAATCAACTAAACCAAAGTCAACTTGATTCTCTTCTAAAACTTTGTGATGAAAAAACTACTCCTGATGACCAATCGGTGAAAATTCTAATTACTTTACTTGATTGGCCCAAAGGTAAATAATTTTCCCAATGTAATTATTTTTTACTGAATTTATTTTATTTATTTTAAAATTTGTGATTTTTATTTAAAGATATTTTGTTTCCTATTCTGGATATCACAAGACTAGCAGTGCGCAATAAACACACAAATGAATTACTATGTACAAACAATTTAATTATGAATAAGTTATTACCTCATATTTATGATAATGGAAATCCTACCAATCAGATGTTAGCATTTAGGTGTCTATGTAACCTTATGCACCATGAGAAAGGAGAACTGATTGTAGTAAAAAACTACGAAGAATTGTTAAAGTTAATCCAAAACTTACCAAATGATTTACTTTCACACAAACATCTTCAAGTGAGTTAATGTTATATTTAGATTTTTAAACACTTTGGTTCCTAATTTATTCGTTTTATGATTTTTATAATAGATTGCTGTAACTACAATGATTTTAAATTTGAGTGTTATGATAAAACAATCAGAAGATGCCATGGCTATACAAAACGTAAATGATACTGCCAACATGTTATGTATAAGACTGACTGAACCAGAAGCAATGTTTCGCTGTTTTGTTGCAATAGGAACTTTATTAAGCTCAAAATATTCACCAACTTTGTCCAAACAAATAAAAGATTACATTGCGTTAATGGCATCAAATTCTGAACCATCTAAAATTTTATCATGCTGTAAACATCTAATGGCAATTATTGGAAAATAATTAAAAATTATATTTATTATTAATATATTTTATACTTTATTATGAAAATGAAACATTGGGAATCATTAGAACTACATTTTTATTTAAAAATAAATAAATAAGAATATTTCATCAATTATTATAAAATAGACTGGACCTATTTAATAATCAATGATTGCATTAATTTATTATTTATTATTAAAATTATTGATAAATTATTAATCAATATCCTTGAAAATAAAGAAAGAGTAAAAAAAAATTATTTTATGTTTTTAATTAGAATTTAAACGGTGTTCCACTAAATGGTACTTCATTTTTATAGTTCTGCTTTAGTATTAAGTCTAATTTAATTGCCGGTGCCTCTATGTGTGGAAAAAGCAAAATATCTTCATTTCGAGGAATAAATGATTTTTCGTGCCACCCGTACCTGAAAAGGAGACTGAGTTCTTTATAATTTATTAATTATTTATGAATCGATTTTTCAATAACATACTTTTGATAAGAATTCCAGAAGCTATAAAATACATTGCTATTATAAATAAATCAATATTTGTTTACCTTTGACTTTCAGTTTGTGGAGAAGAATATTTATTCTTTGGTCCTAAAGATTTAGCTTTTGCCAAGAGTTCAATGTACTCACTGTTTGGATCTCCCTGGTTAACGTATGCCTCGTGGCGCGCATAAAATTTATTTGTAACCGGTGATCCTGCAATATTTAAGCAATTTGTGCTACATTTCATCCAAAACACTAACGAAACTAACCTTTTAAATTTGGCCGGAACGTGGTGTAAACTTTTTGAAATTTTTTTTCTTTTCTGTATAACTCCACTAAAAGATTGTAGTTCTGCATGTTTGTTACATGCTGTAGAAAAAATTAGGAATTAATACTTCTCGTGTGCAAGTGGTAATGTTTTTGTATCTCGTACATACAATGTGATATGGGGCCTCGCTATAGCATTTATTTAAGGAACATTTAGGCAATTTCTAATTACATCGTCGCCACCCCAGATCTATGTGTTAGTTGTAAATGATTATTAGTGTGTGTGTGTGGCGTCAACGCGGGTATCACGTCTTTCCGCACCATCATCCTGGTAGTCGTTAATTGTAATCATTATCGCAGTCAAAGATGGAACTAGGAATTTTTACGCTCTGGTAAAATGTTAAAATTACGCCCTATCCATAGACTAATAAACAAATACTCAAATAAATTGTGTTCTTATAATCAATATACAATCGAACGTTATTGAGTTTTAACCTAATATTAGTATTTAACGAAGTTAAAAATATCAAATTAGTTGTTACGTAATAATTACGAAAATTACACCCTCTTAAATGTTACGCCCGGGGATGAATCCCCGTCTTCCACCTCGTAGTTCCGGCCCTGATCGCAGTATACCATATTTGTTGAATGTTTTGATGTAAAACAGTTATTAATAAAAAAAAAATAGCTGCAGTTTGCAGTGCAAAGTAATTTGCACTATTATTTCTATTATTTTGGTTCATGGTGGTCTCTTATTCCCTTCAGTGCTGATCCGACGGTTTTCGGGGCCCGGTGCAGAATTTTGCGAGGCCCCATACAAATATATTAATTTTTTAATTCATTATAGAAATCTATGTTTTTTCATATTATATAACTAAATATATACTAGAACTGTATTTCGAACTGTCGTCGACGATAAACAATTTTACAAGTGCATGCGCGTACAATACTTCAAAGCTATGCGTAATTGGTACCATCTTAATTTTCATCGATAACAATCCGTTAACTGAGAAGTTAACGCCGGTTGCGATTTGCGTACTGAAACTATATTATTTTTATTTACAGATAAAGTAGTAATCGTAATATATAATTTGTGGGGCCCCAGGGGCCGTATTTAGATATTATTTTTTTTTTTGGGGCCTGTGGTATTTTCTTCAACTAAAATTCCCCAATTCAGCCTATTATAAACAAAAGTTGGAAAATTAGTGTACAACATTCACCTATAATAGCGAAAACAAGTAACAACTATACGACGTAAACAGATCACCGTGATAGTGTTATCGGTCGTCGCTATCACTTTCAAAAATGTCTTAGCTCATACGGGCTCGTATAAATATTGTACGGTGATTGAGACGCGACAACGCGTGTATATCAGTAAATCAATTCTAGATAAAAGAAATCGAAATTACGATAAATGCAGCAGTACCGTACGTCAAAATTAAGCACAATGTACCGAACTCAATGGTATAATCGTTACGATCAAAATCGTCAGACACTTAACACGAATAACTTGTATTATTATTGTATTATAATTCTGATAGAACATAATAAGCAGACTTAATAAACAATTCCTGGATTTCGTGGGGGGAGGCTGAAGCCTTCTCAGGCTCCCCATAAATATGCCTCTGTGAGGCTTTATACAATCGCGGGGCCCGGTGCGATGGCACTACTTGCCCCCCCCCCCCCTAGCCCCAGCAATGATTCCCTTTATGAAACCTTTGTGTTTTTTTCTTTTCGATAAAGGAATTTTAGTTTTAATTTTATATTTGGAATTCATTTTTCTAATTAAAATAACAAAATAATCCTTACTAAAACAAACAGGGCCCAAAATAGACCGGAACGCACCGGAATGCAGTTCCGGTTCACGAACATTTTTTTTTAATATTCCGATTCGTAAAAAGAATACGTTTATCGTTCCGGTTCAAACAAATTTTTAGTGTACCAATCATATTTTGGTAAAATTTAAACATTTTGCAGAATTGTTTATTGTAAAATATTTAATAAACGTCAAACGACCGCGATGCATAAGTACATTTATTGCTTATCTATACGATAATCGCCGTCCGCCGATAGTGTATTTTAGCTTTATTTACACAATTACGTATGTGAATTTTAAAAGTTAAAAATAAAGCCTTATTCGGGTTCACACTATTGAAATTTCTTGTATGCTTTTTTCCGCATGCTTATTTTTACTCGTGCAAGAACAAAATTGAACAAATGTGAACGCAGATAATACGCATGCAAGTCCTTGCATACTTAAACTTGCATGCAGTCCAACATGTCGGATAGAATTTTATGCAATTATGTAATTGTATGCCAGTTTATTCTCGAACACAAATAGTTAAATGCGTAATCAATGAGTTTGTGTTTTATGAACTTTTAACATTTTTTTAATAATAATAATAATATTAATAAAATTATTAATATAAATTATTTTATTATATTTTATAAGCTTCTTGCTTCTTTTATAAGATTTTTTTACGAAGCATATCGCAAACAATAATTACACCTTTTTTTGTTGGATCCATTTAATATTCTCATTAAAAATTTAAAAAAAAAAACAGTAATTCTACTCGCGATCAGATCACTTTTGAACAGTGGTGCACGCAGGGGGGAGGGTTAAGGGGTTGTACTCCCCCCTCGAAATTTTCTCCAATGTCTAGGTTAAAATTTACAAATTTTACAAGTTTGAAATATGAAGAGCTAGTATTGAATACCTAGTATCATTGATTATAGAATAGTCTATTCTATCATCAATGCTATTATTTAAGTCAAAATATATTAAGGATTTACATAATTTTGTTAATTGTAAAATGTGTTATATTTTTACCTTGACCCTCCCCGAAAAAAAATCTTGCGTGCGCCACTGCTTTTGAAACTAAATTATATTTAAATACATACAAGACTAAAAATATAAACAAATTTGTGGACATACACTTGCGTATTACTATGCGTATTCTTGCATGATATATATTGCAAGCAAGTCTACAGTGCAAGAAATTGCAACAAGACATTGTGGCATACGAAATTTTAACATATAAATTTCATTGTTATATATTTTCTTTATTGAATAAAGTGTATTAAATTACATTGTATTGTATTATATGTATATAAATACAACTTAAACGTTATAAGTTAAAAGTTATTAGTTAAAAGTTAAGTTAGTTAGTTTTATAAGTTATAGTTAGTTAAATGTTATAAGTTAGCACAAAATTATGTAATATTTAATATTTTCGTTCGTATATATATTATAGTTGTGTCGTAACACGCTGCTCACGTTGGCAAATACGTTAGCAAAAGATGACAAGTTCATGCTGTAATGATATTCATAATATAACGAATATCATCATTTCAATTATGTTAATCATAACATACCTATTATTAATATCTAAACACTGTATTTAATACAATATCCAAAATATTCATAATATCAAAATATATAACTAACCACAACACATCTTTGTACCCCATTATAATAATCAAAATTATACTTATTAATAGTAGTAATATTTATACTTACTTTTAATCAAATGTCATTACTATATCTAATACACTAATATTACGACTTTCATAACAACATATCTGTACCCATGAACTTCAAAATTATATAAAATTACTATTAAATCTATTTATTCCTATACATATATATACCATAAGCCATATAAAAAAATATGCGTTAATAAAAACACGCACCTTTTACCTATGTACCTTGATAATAAACAACAATAACATAACAAATCTGTCAACAAGTACCAAGGGTCAATACTATAAGTAGAGCCCTCTTTACATGATACAGCCAGTCTGCTAACATCATTCTAGCCTGTCATGTACCTTTTACACCGACTTATTGAGTTGATCGCTATATCCTCCATTCACGGGTCATTGCTGCTTGGTTGACGGAAATTGTTACTGTTATAATTTCTTACAAATTAAAAACATTAAGTGTTATAAATTAATTTTATTCAACACCTTTTGATTTCAAAAGATCTTTGTAATCTACCATCAATCAACCAACTTCGACACAGTTAAGGTAAGAAATTATATTAATACATCTGATAAATAATAAAATATCAGGTTGTTATAAATAAATATATTCACGACATGCAGATTCAGGCATCCTAGTTGATTTAGATAATCTTAATAAACCTATACACTCACGACCTCTATTAATCGTAATAATACATGGGATTTAATAAAAAAATAAGATATAAAATTGAGAACGTCGATACTCTTGATTTTATCACTTATAGTTCATTAAAAAATACTTAACTATTAATATCCCAGCTAACATATTATTATAAGGTAAAGTTTCATCAATAGGAACGCGCAAGCTTATTTTTGATTCATTACAATGCATTAGCTGGAAAATTCTTTTGGAAAGAACTTGTTTAGCATGTGGTCGCCAAACCAGGTGACTGCCAAAGATGCGATTTGTATCTGGTACAAAGAGGGGAAAAATTACGATTACTCGAAAGAACCTAGAATTCTCAAATCATGTAATGATCGCAACTCACGATAAAGCATAAATTCATTAAACGTTTCTGAAGTATCGCAATATGTGTGTAGTACCTATTATTTCATTATACATGAAAATGATTAGAAAGTCGCCGTGTAGATCGTTTTTAATATTATTGTTCTATGGAAAGTACATATAATATATTGTAGCAGTGTTCGTGTTGCACTGGAGTAAATTGTTATTGTTAAATACACATTTTACTTTTGCTTCAGAACGCCAGTACAATTGTTTGACGTAGTTAATCCGAAAGTATTTTATAAACATGAAAATATATAAAACTATTTCACTCAACATGTTATAAGTGACATACTAGTATACAATAATAATAATAATAATACAATAGAATAACTTTATATTTTCCAGTTAATTTGAAAAATTATATGTTAAATTATAATTATATTTGCACTTATACGTACATATCTACAATTAGGAACCTATTTAAAATCAAATAATTAAATAACTATCAGTTGTGTGTACAAAGAGAGAATATGATGCATGTTCTACAAAATATTTTATGAGTATTATAAAAATTGAAAGTTGTACAATTCGTGCATTATATGTACATATTATGTGACACACCCTAGTAGCAATTCAAAAAATATATTTTTAATGGAATTATGTACATTTGTTTTCCATATTAATTTCTAACTTATAAAGTGAAATATATTGTTGTTTAATTATTGATGTACATCTCAAAGTTCTTTATGTTGACTTAACCAAATAAAGTTAATTGTTTTCATTAACTTGTCCATCTATTGGGCAATACTATTGGTCTTCTAATTTATCATTAGAATTAATTGATTAAATGGTTATGTGTAGATAGTACCATTTATTATAGATAGTAATATTCCAAAATCCATAATCAATGATAGTACTATGAGGCGAATACTGCGAATCATAATGCAATCTATAATAATAATATATTTCCGGTTTTATCCAATTTTATAATCGAAGCATTTAAATGATACGTATAATTCGTTTTAATTGTAGGACCTTTCACCCAACTTTATATTCAAAAAAAAGGACAAATCAACCCTATTTTGCAATTATTCAACCCCCTCGGGGCACGTAAAGAGTACTAGTAATCACAACCAAATTTAACTCAAATTGCTTTCTTATAATAATGAACAAAATGGGGGTGCGAAATCAAAAATATTTTTCCTTTTTTTCACCTATAACTAAGGACCACCTAGGGTACAATATACATAAGTAATTATATTTCAAATGGAAAAAAGAACCGTTAGTGGTTTTTAAAGATTTATTCGCTTTTAAAAATATATTTTATTAATTTAAACAGTACTACGACTTCTAAAATGGTTTATTTTTTTTATAAATAGTATGACTTTTAAGTAAATCAATACAATGTATGTATTGTGCTCTGGTTATACTTTTATTTTTGCCTCTAGGTCGTTTGAAAGTTATTGATTACGTGATAAATTTGAACTTACCAATAAATAATAATGCGATGTATATACATGATCATTAAAAACTATTTGTTTACGAATATATATAAATGCGCATTAAAAACTACTTGTGATAATTACTAATTGGGTATTGAAACTTTTTGATTTAGTGATATATCGATACTTCTAGGTAGACTGCATTAAAACTAAGTGGGTGCTTTAATAAGAAATGTAAAATCTCCGCTATTCTGTTTCATTCAAGTTTTTCTGATTTCTAACTTGTCAAATGCCTTACGTTTTTAACTATAACTAAAAATTTTAATTGATTCAATTATATAAGAACTTATACTATATATATTATATTTATATTAAAATTATATGATTGTATTAAAAAATCATCACATCGGTTCTGGCAGAAGTAATAATGAAGACCGATTTCAACTAACAAATTTAAAAATGTATTTTTTTTCAACACATCTAATTTCAATTCAAATAAAATACTAGGTTAGAAATTAACAGAAATTTTGTTTATTTATTTTATCTTTTTTAGGTACAGGAGCACGTGTTCAAATACCGTGTATGAAAAATTCGTCTGACATAATTTATATAACTGGAACAAAGGATTCCACGAAAAAAGTAGTTCAAGTATGTATCAAAAATATGTTTTAATGAATCAGAATTTAAGTTTAACACATTTAAGTAAAATAATTTTCGAAAAGAATGGCTGGAATGAATAGGTTACAGAAAAATTAACGAAATAGATAATGTCTATTTTTAAAGTGGTTAATTGTGACCGTACTAATTTATTTATTTTATTAATTAAATTAAAATAAATCTTTTAATAAATATTTGAAAATTTCATGATTTCTAAATTAAAATGTCGATAATTTTTATTATACTTCTATAGTAAAAAATAAATTAATGAGGATTTTAATATTGAATTTGGATATAACTCTATACAAATTCAATGAACTTTTAATTTTAATATTATAGGTTTAAAAGTATTTAAAAAATTTCTGATATGTTTTTTTTTTTAGAAAAAAATTTACAAGTATTTTGTTTAAACGAAATCGAGTATTTTAACAAATTTCCATTAAATATCTTTCGTAATTTTGTAATAATTAAAATTTTTGTTAGGAATTGGAGGAAATTATATTTAAGTTGAAAAGTAAAATTGAAAAAGAAATAACAATTGATCAACGTCACCACGGAGCGATAATTGGAGTTAAGGGTGAAAAAGTTCGAGAACTTCAGAAAATATTTAATGTTCAAATTATATTCCCCAGTCCAAGTAATTTATAGTATTAATAGTATTAATATATTTGTTTTTTTTTTGTATTTTGACCGTTAATAAATAATATTTGGTTCGATATTTTAGTCGAGGCTAGAAATAATTCAGTTAAAATACGAGGTTTGAACGATGATGTAAGTAAAGCATTTAAATCATTAGCTGAATTAGCCGAAGTATTGGATGAAACCAACTATGTGTTGGAAATTCCTATTTTTAAACATTTCACAAACTTAGTGCTGGAAAAAGAGCAGTATTTATTAAAAAGGTAATTATTATTTATTAACTTTTGTGATTCAACCTTTAGAAATATTGTTATTTATATAATTTAATATTCTAGATTAGAGAAGAGACCGATACCAGTATTTTTTTACCACTTGAAGGAAACAATAGTGATGTTATTAAAGTCATGGGAAATAAAAGAAAAGTTTTAATCGCTTATGATATGATTAAAGAAATACAAAATGAAATAGTTTGTTTTTTATAAAGATTATTTATTTTTCAATTTTATTATTAATTTATCAATCATATATTCTTAGGGAGACGTAATAACAAAGGAAATGGTGTTGGGAAATGATAAAGTTAGAAATGTCATTGTAAATCTTAGGAATAAATTCATTCAATCTATAAAAGAAGATTGTGGGGAGTAATATGACATTGAATTTACCAACTTTTAAAGGAGATAATGTAAGAATATACTTATTTATTAAACTTATAAAATAAAATGACAATTTAACCAATTGTATAAGTTATTATAGCGTGATATATGCTCAGGCATCGATTTGAACCTGGCCTCTGACAGTTTCTCTCTTTGAGTAGGAGACGATTGTCTCAAGAGAAGAAACTGCTTCCTCTCTCGTAATATAATAAGTAAATTTTCAAAAAAATTTTCTAAATGCTAAAAATCTATAAAAAAAAATAGTAAACAGTTATTTTAAAGCTAAAATTTAATTTATAGACTATAGTTATCAAAGGACCTGAAGATGATGTTAAAAATGTTATTTTACAAATTCAGATAATGGTTGATGAATTTCATAAATATGATTTATATATGATTTAAAAGTAAATCCGAAGTTTCACAAATATTTAATTGGAACAAATGGAGTCAATGTTAAAAAGATATGTTGTTAAAATAATTTAGTAAAAGGGTACAATGTGTTCATTTATGATTTTATATTTGGTTTCCAGATCAGATTTTTAACAAATACAAGAATAATTTTCCCGCCTGAAACTGATTCCACTAATGAAAATATAACTATTGTTGGTAAAAAAGAGAATGTTAATAAAGCAAAAGCAAAGTTTGAAGTAATGATAACCGATATTGGTAATGTCATCGAAGAACAGGTAGAAATCAATGAAAAATATCATGGCACTTTAGTGGTCAATCAAAAAAAAGGTTTACACAAATTGGAAAAAGAATGTGATGATGTTAAAATTGAATTTCCTAATCTTGGTGCTGGAGATAGAGTTGTGATCAGCGATAGCAAAGCAGATGTTACTTTTTCTAAACCAGCGGTCTTCACTAGAATTTTAGAAAGGGCCAAATGTAATTTTTGAAAATTACTTGCGGGCCGCATACATTTATAATAATATTAACAACCGTAACATTGATTTTTTTTCAGAAAAAAATCCATTTTTTAATTCAACTAGTTTGTCTTCCCTTATTTTAGATGGGTGGAGATAATTTTTAGAAAATTCAATTTACTGAGTTATGTAATGACGATTAATATTATTAAGTTTTGGAATATTTATGGTTTTACGACAAATTAAATATAAAGCATCATGTTTCTTACCAGAAATATAGAAAAATTCAATCTCCCAACTGTCTTGAAATATTCTGTGTTCATCTTTGATTTTACGTTTCGCCATGATAAATAATTAAAATGTACGTGATAAAATACAAACGGACAATAAGCGATAATAGATAAACTTATCATACAAGACTACGCGGTGGAAATGAATAAACCCATAATCGTTGGTACCTGCTTATCTGACCAACTGGTAATTCAATATAAGTTTTAAATAAAAAGATAAAATAAATAAAAACAATAAGATAAAAAGCAACGTTCATTTTATTCCCTGTTATAGAATTTTGGATTTTCGATTACAATTTAATTTTAGTGAGGGCCACATTAAATTTGTTAAAGGGCCGCTTGCGGCCCGCGGGCCGTGTAGTGGGGACCGCTGTTCTAAACAAAGACTTTTAGACCATGCTAAAGTTTTAGTATGTATAATTCAATACAAATGCATGTGTATTAAACTAACTTGTCTATTTTTTATTGAAATTGTATTGAGGTTATATTTACATAATTGTTAATAGTTTTTTTTACAATAATAAACTATTGATATATGAGTCATATAAAATTAAATAACTTAAGAAAAACAATTAAAATAATCATTGATGTACCTGAATACAACTAAATAAGTTAACCATATAATCATTAACAGTTTTGATTTAGGAAAATACTATTCGTACTGTAGTAAATGTTGATCTAAAGTATCATAATTACTTTGTTGCAAGACGTGGTGAAATTATCAAACGAATTATTAATGATTGCAATGAAGTGTTTATAACATTTCCGAAAATAGCTTCTAGTAATAGTGCTGTCATCATAAAAGGTGACAAAATAAATGTTGAAGAGGCGAAACGTAAGATTGAAGAAATTGTTAAAGACTTGGTTAGTATTTACTATATAAAAGTATTTATTTATAGTTATTGGAATTATTGAAGTCATAAAAATAACCTATGACTAACAGTTATTATATAAAAAATAATTGAACATTTATTACTTTTTAATTTATTTAAATAATAGATAAGAGAATCATAATGCAATAATAATAATAATTATAATCTCGTAATACATTAAATTGTTATAGAAAAACATAATTGAAGTCACTATGAACGTTCTTCCAAAATATCATCATTATTTTGTTGCCCTTCACGCTGAAGTAATAAACCAGATATGTGGGAAACATAATGGAGTTACTGTTAAATTTCCACAAGTCAATTCCAATTTTAGTAAAGTTTTGATTAAAGGCCACAAGGATTATGTTGAAAAAGTCAAAAATGAAATCGGTAATATTATTATTGAAGTGGTAAGTTGTATACTAAGTTAGTATTGCTAACGCTTATTGTTTTATCCTTAAATTATTAATCAATAATTGTGTTACACAGCGGCGTAGCAATGGTGCAGTAGGTGCGACGCACTGAGGCCTTCGTGATTTGGGGCACTCAATTCAAAAGAAAACTGATATGAACAAAAAAAGAAGTTTGCGTTAACTACAACCAATTTTTTGTTTTGATTTTTGGTAGAAATAAATAATGAAAACATTTTTTTTTTCAAAATCTCATCAATGTCTTTTATTGTTAGATTAGTTAAAATAATTAAACTAATAAATTGAAATGTAATTATAATGAAATAAAATATATTAAATACGATAAACTTAGTATAAAAATTATTATATTAACAAGCTTATTGTTAATTGTTGATTATGTTTTTTTAGTATTTTGGGTTTGGACTCCTCCATTTTAAAATCCTGACTACGCTACTGAAAGATAATATTCTTTATTACATAAAGTGAACTAAACTATAGTCATAAATATTTTTATTCCATATAAATTGATGTAAAAAAATATAGGAGTATTATTAAAGAGTTCTAATAGTGTTTTTAAAGTAAGTGTTTCCACAGATTTTTTTTCTATGATATTTGATTATTATTTATTAATATTTACATATTATAGTAAAATATTTTAATTTTACTGTGATTAGGTATATATTAAAAATTAAGTAACAAAATAATTTTCATTAAATACGGGACATAATAATAAAACCATTTTAAATGTAACATTATTACATATGACCTCGTTTTAAGATATACTAAGAACACTTCAAAACTTACTCTTAAACACTCCCCTCCCAGAAAAAAATTGTATCTACGCCACTGATGATACATATAAAAATATAACAAATTTTGAATTATCTGTTGTTGACATAACTCTTCGATTTTCTAAAACTTGTTATAGTTTTTAGAATTATTTATAAAATTGTAAAAACTCTAACCTTTTGTTGATTTACCGAATCAAATAGATAATAGATTAATAAGTTTTAAATGGTATGAATATGGGAAACATTTTACACTCTGATAAAAGGTCTGTGGATTTAGCACTCTTTTTAGCACTTTACATAGATCAACTTAGATTTTACTTTACATAGACATCAGAGATGAAAAAAAATGATTTGCCAAAATATAATTTTAACTAAAACAGTATAAAATAGAAGGTACAACTTATGTAATAAAAAAGGCTTAGTATTTCAGGAAGGGGGAAATATAATTTTGATGGGTTAAAGCTCCTAATTCTATAGTATGTACTAAAAGAAAAGAGTTCCGGTTCGGAAAATTTTCCATTTCGAGCACTAGAAACAAAGCTGAATAGCGACTGAATAATAAATTCAAATTTAAAATACAGAATGATAATAAAATATAATAACGTCCAATGTAGGTAATAGGCAAGGTTTATCGATTATAATCTATAAATCTTGGTTAATAGGTATATAATATTGAGCGCATGTAAACTCCACCTCATATTACAAAAATTAAAAATGTGGCTCGATCGTTTCCTTGTTCAATACTATGGAGAATCCGTATATTTTTTCAGAGTGAAAATCGTGATAATTGTCAACACGCAGCGTTGGAATTAGAAACAGTAGTTTTTGTTAAAAAAAGACATGGTGGTGAGGCCCCTTAACAACAGACATTTTGTTTATGAGTATATAAAACAACCGTGCAGTTCATTACCGCGCATTCAGTCTTGCATATTCGTCATAATAAAACATTAATATTAATCACGTACGTATATTCATTATTTTCTTCCCCCCTTAAAATGTAGCAATCAATAATGCGGTGATTTTTCTTTCACTATTTTATAAGTTGACAACCGGTTGCGCTGCGTATTATTAAAGCTACCACATATGCTACCCCTCTCTTAAAACAGGTCAAGTCGTATAACATTATGAAATTCTGCAGGACCACGGTTTTACATATGTGACATTCGATTTCGTATACTTTACACTTTTGACTGAGTTCCGTGAGTGATATCTAATGTCATTGATACGAATGTGAGGCAGATTATGGGTGGTTATATTGTGCGAGTGGGTAATTATAGTGGATTAGATTTTGTGGTTTATTTGGGTGGCCGCAAAGTGTTCTGTGTTCTAGATGGTGTCGGGTTATGTGTTCGAAAATGATATGTTCGAATAAAATGTGTTCGAATGAAAAGTGTTCGAAAAAGCATATGTTCGGATGAATTTTTGTTCGAATGAATTTTTGTTCGAAAACTTTGTAATTATTATTTTGATATAGATATTAAGATATATATTATCTATAGTATATAAAAATTAATAATCGTATATTCCGACTATTATACCGTTAACCAAGGAAAGACAGACGTGTATTTACATTAATATAGTATCTGATATAGAGCAATATATTTTATCTACTCGTTATGTTATCGTAAGCGTAATCACTAATCATAATATGGGTTTCTGTAACACAGGCACCGACTGTAATTTACCGACTGCTGCAGTATATTTTTTATAATAATTATTGACAAATATATATATATTTGTATGTCAAAATATAATATATATTCATAACACTTCTTCAAAAAATTCAGAACGAGAACGAAAACTTAATTGAACAATTTATTCAAGGCAGAATTGCAAAAAAAATTAAGGTATCCCGACAACAACATGAAGATAGAATTAAAAATTTAGTTTTAAGATTTAAAAATAGTAATCAACATAATATAGAGTTTTTAAGAGGCATTGCGTACAATTTAAACATTTAATAATTTTTTACTATATAAATAATAAAGAAATAAATAATTTAATAAATGTTTTTTTTAACAATGAGTTTAATTATTCGAACTAAAACCTATTCGAACAAAAATTCATTCGAACATATTTTTTATCGAACACTTTTCATTCGAACAAATTTTATTCGAACACGTAATTTTCGAACACATAACCCCTCGTCGTTCTAGATTAGCTTGCATTAATTAAAACCATCTAAATATGAGTTTGTGAAATATATCAATTCTATTAGTTTTGGACATGCTAAATCCAAATTTGTTATCAGTTTTGAAATTAACCCCTAATAAGGGGTAAAAAAAATCTTTATTTCTAAATTTTCATAAAACTTGCATATTGTACATCAACTAATTTACATGTTTTAGGTTGCTGAATCCAAATACTATTTCCATTTTGTTATCTACCCCTTATTGTTTATTATTTTCCATAGGGGATGTTTTTAGTTTTTAAATTTTATATATATATTTAACATTATAATATAATTATTAAAACTACGTTAACAATTACTGGCACTATCACAATCACTGTTCAAATTTATTTCATCTAACGTTATATTCAATAGCGATTTAGCTTCATTTGATAAGTCTTTTTTTTTTTTTTTGGAAGTAGTTTTATGGTCGATATTAACGGGTCAGATAATATTAATAACACATGTAAGAGATCTTCGTTGGTGTTTATTCTTGAGTTTTTTCTTGTGTGGTGTTGTCTGTAAATTTTATAATCTTTATTTCGAGATTCTTGGGCCTTCTCTGATAATTGTCCTAAAAAATAAACGTTAAATATGCTTAATTATTCTGAAAAAAAATTTAAATTTAATAGAACGGAAATACATACATACCTATCGGTAAAATTGCATAGCGAATAACATCAGCATCATAAATTTGATGGCATATAAAACTAGGGGTATAAGGAAACAAAAAGTTTAGCTGTTTGTTCACCATACTCATCAAATGCATCTATATTAATATCCTGGCCACTTGCCATAACCATTAGAATATTTTTAAATCGTTCAATCAGTTTTACATCAACTCCTGTGATCTCTGCCGATTTCTCTAAATTTCTAAAAAATGTCCTAGCAGTATTTCCATCATTTGTGGTCCCGTGTCTTATAAAAATAATAATTAAAACAAATGAAGTTTTTAGGAATAAGAAAAAAATTAAGTTATAAAACTGTATTATTACTCTGCTATACCATATAAATTAATAATCCCATCTTTGAACGAAATTTGTTCTGAATCGTAATTTTCCGTGTTTTAAATAATTCTTTATTTTTTTCTGTTCTTACCTAGATATTCAAATAATGAAATTATATATCTCAATTAAAGTACTTATTTCGAAATCTTTATAAGTTATATAACTAAACTACGGTTATATTACCTGCCAACATTTAAATGGTAAATGATACGATATGTGTATAAAGGTGCTCACACACTGCTGCGGTACGCGATACGGTACACTACTATTTTTTTTGTACGATATTTATACCGTCGTAGCTTGCACACTTATCCGGTACTCAATATGGACGGACAATATGACTAACAATATGTACCGGACGGGAAAATATTGTACCAGAACGTTTCTCAGCACAATAAGCACACACTGCTGCGGTACAATACGTATACGATACTAACATTTATTATTTTAAAATTATTGTATTATGATTCTACAATAATTATTAAAACTGTTATTATTTTCAGGAACGACCTTATGTATTTATAGACTTATAAACAATTTTATGTGAAGTTGTACTGTGTCTGTGTATATTACCTAACATCATAAATGTTGTACTTCGAGGTTCAAATTATTTACAGACTATATAGACACACTACATAGACATTCTATAAAATCCAAAAAATAAATATAATAAAAATACACAACTACCAAAAAAATGAAAACAGACAAATTATTTCAATAACAATTTATTACTGAACAAAAAAAAGTTTTTGAATAGTTTTCTACAAATTTTGTAGGTACTTAAGTATTACGTACCTGATAAAGGTAGCTGGCAAATTATAGAAATAAGTTTTTAGAAATTGTGCCCAGAATTATAGATTTTTTGAAATTAACTGATAAAAATATGATAGCATTTAATAATCTTAAAAGTGTGAATATTATCTATACGGGTAGGTAATGAATAGTTACCATTAACGGATAGGCAATGAGATCACAAATTCCGCATGCGTTGTCTACGTCTTATAAACATACAACATGACAAATCTGTATTCAGCAGAACTAATTTTGTGTTATTACATATTAGCTTTAATACAAGATTAATCTGACCTATTATCGATTTTAATATGAATTATCTCTATCTTCTCATAAGTTATTTACAAAATCTCAATTTTTAAGTGAGTTTAGAAATTTATGACTAGGTATGTAAAATATTACAATTCAAAAAAGCTCAAAAATAACTGTCGTTTTAAAAATTAAGATATTGTAAAAGAACTTAAGATAAAACACAGATAATGTACTTTCCCGGATATGGCATTATTTTAATTAGAATTAATTTATCCAACTACACAATGATGAAGACATGAAGTAGATATAAAATCTACTATACAGCAAAGTAAATTCCCTGATTTTTTAAGTACTTATGATTTTTAAAACTAATTTCATAATTAATTTTACCGTTCCGGTACACAATAAAAATCGTGCATGCAACATTCTAAAAATACCGGTGCAGAAACCGTCCTCCGGTACGATATTTGAGACCGTACCGGCAATATATCGCACAAGTGTGCAAGCCCCCATTTAAATCTATGGGCATGGTTATTAATTGTACCGCACAAATAATAACGGAGATGCGCACCGGACCGGTCTAGTTAGGTGTGTGCGATGCCTATAAAAACCATTTGAACGATTTTACTGGCAACTTTACCGTACTGATACCGTTTCGCGTACCGCAGCAGTGCAGTGGCGTATTTGAGGGGGGGGGCGATTGGGGCAATCCCCCCCCAAGAATTTTTAGACCAAGACAATTTTTATAAAAGTAATG